ATTGTTTTATATTGTTTATATTTTGAATTTATGTATTGTTTATTGCTTGTTGATTTTATTGTTTTCATTAATATAATAAAGTACATTCTTGGTATACTAGACATTTCCCCATTTCCTATATTATTTTTGTGATGGAGCTGGACAATTTTCTGGGACCTGTATATTCGAGGTGGGGATTATATGAACAAGGCTCTGTACTACTAAAGCAGGTTCATGCACTACAAATGTAAGTAGGATATCTTATTCACAAATTATACTTACCTTTATGATCTACACTATTGGAGTTTTTCTCTTTTTGTATTTCCATATATTGGATTACCATTGGATATAGTCACTGTGCAACTTATTGAATCTACACATATCCTAAAATGGGGATTTACCGTCCATGAACAACACAGCAGAACTCTAAAGAGTGTGAGCTAGTTCTCTGTGTAATTTAAATTATTTTTTATGGAGGGGATATATAATTTTTATTGGTTTTTAAAGATAGTATGCGAACATATTATTGCAAGATATTGAAACTCGCAGGTCTCTCACATAGCTGAAACAGCAAAGTAGTAGTAGTAAATGCCTGGGCAGACTCGGAGGTCTGTAAGAGAAGAAACAATCAGGAAACTCGAAACACATATTAAGCAACTTTAGTAACTGGGATTATCAGATTTAACTCTGGATCTAATGCAGTTGCGGTATAAAGAGAAATTGGTATATAGTTAATATGCTGTGTTAGCATGTCCGATTTGTCTATATGGTTATAGGGATTGTATACATAGTGTGTCCCTAATCCTGGATGTCAATATGACGGGTCTTTCCATATCCAATGTGCGTGTGTTTCAGCTCGTTCCCATTGCAAATGGGGGAGGGGATAGAGAGGTGAGTAATTAGATTATAACTCAAAGTATTAATACATACTGCACTATTGTTTTTTTTAATTGTTTTTTTCTTTCTGGGGTATACAAGTGATTTCAGTGTGTATATTTTAATATCTCTGTATATACATCACATTATCAGATTGTCTCTATCCCTGGTTAAACCTTTTATTCTTTGGTGCAGTACATCACTTTTGTTTTGTGTTTATTGTATGTTACATGCAGTGACATACATTTACTGACACACACACACACTCATTGACAGACACACACTCTCACTGATACTGAAACACACTCATTGGCACTCACATTGTTTAACTAACTCACATTCTCACTGACAGACACGCACTGACATACTATCACAGACATAGTAAAGTAAAAAAGGGATTCAGGAGCACGCCCGAAACATACATTTTTTATCAATGGTGCTGCCCTAGAGACCAAAAGTTATACAATATACAGATTAAGAAACAGTGCTAACATAAAAATACAGGTTAAAATTTTATAAGACTACTTAAAATCACCTATCTCAGCAAACAAATATGGGGATTCAGTTCCAATATGGCCATATTGTGTTAAAAGAACAGGGTTACACCACGCCAAAGCCTTAAAGTGCACTTGGTACATACATATGCCACTGGGATATTCCAAATATAGTAACTTAAAAATAACTAGAAAAAACACAAATAATAGTGCAGTATATTCTAAAAGTGTAGGAGTGTTTGTATAGGTTACTGTAGAGAACTCACTCACATTTGTCAGAGCTTTCTAAGAGCTCTGCTATTTTGCCAGACTAAGGATGTATGCTGGTCAAATTAGCAGGAGTTCTCCAAATGCGATATTGCATGCAGGATATATAGGAAAACAAAGACATAGAAACCTCCAATAGTGAAGTAAGTACTATTGAAATCAGATAGAAATGAAAGTATTGTACTCACAATTACTAGAGGAGGACTTTCTCTAGCAGCAGGATGCTCAATGGGTAAGAAAAAAGGTAAATATACCCGTATATACTCGAGTATAAGTCGACCCGAATATAAGTCGAGGCCCTTAATTTTACCCCCCAAAAAACTGGGAAAACTTATTGACTCGAGTATAAGACTAGGGTGGGAAATGCAGCCTCTACTGGTAAATTTTTTAATAAAATTAGATCCCCAAAAAATTATATTAATTGAATATTTATTTACTGTGTGTGTATATAATTAATGCAGGGTGTGTGTATATAATGAATGCAGTGTGTGTGTATATAATGCAGTGTGTGTGTATATAATGCAGTGTGTGTGTGTATGAATGCAGTGTGTGTGTATGAATGAATGCAGTATGTGTTTGTGTATGTGATGCAGAGTGTGTAACCTTGGTGGGGGTGGGCATTTTTATTATTTATTTTTTTAATTATTATTTTAATATAAAAAAAATTATTTTATTATAATACTATTTACATTTTTATTTTATTTTTTTGCCCCCCCTCCCTGCTTGTTAGCTGGCCAGGGAGGGGGGATATAGCAGTCCCTGGTGGTCCAGTGGATGGGCTGTGCAGGAGGGGGACTTGGAGCAAGCTGTTACTCACCTTTCCTGCAGCTCCTGTCAGCTCCCTTCTCCTCTGTGCCATTCAGCTCCAGCATAAATCTCGCGGTCTGAGTGCTGCGCGGAGCGTTGCCACGATAACCCATGGCAACGCTCTGACGGCTGCGGCTCTCGCGAGATTTACAGTGGAGCTGAACGACACGGAGGAGAAGGGAGCTGACAGGAGCTGCAGGAAAGGTAAGTAACAGCTTGCTCCAAGTCCCCCTCCTGCACAGCCCCCAACAGGACCACCGGGCTTGTAATGAGCCCGGCGGTCCTGGTCTGTATTATGGCAATGTAAGTTGCCATAATATAGACATTGACTCGAGTATAAGACGAGTGGGAGTTTTTCAGCACAAAAAAATGTGCCGAAAAACTCATTGTAACGGATCACCTGGCACCCCGACTGGGTACCTCCGTTGAAGGATGCTCCTAGCGCTTCCTGAGGACTCCAAGCACTGCAGCAGACACCAAAACCACCGAACCGTAGGAGCATATAAATGCTCTCAAGCATATGAATGCTGTAGACAGTTGAAAAGGAACCATACGAATAGGTTTACTCTCCTAGCAGTCAAACTGGAACAGCATACAATAAATCCTTCCCCCAATAATGAGACGACACTTCACTTTGAGGGTTAAAACAGGAACTCCCTGTACTGTCACATACAGTCTCTTTTATTCCCAATCCACAAACATAGTACAGCCCACAGGGCGTTACAAAACAACCAATCAATCCGTACAATACACCCAGACACTCCCACACAAAATCCTCCCCTCTGCAGGTGATATGATTACTGAACACAATGGGTAATCTCATTATCACCGGCAGAGGAATACAGTTTTTACACAATATTTCTAACTTCTAAAATATACATGTCACAAACATAAAACATACATTTTCATAATCAATCCATTCAGGGGAACAACATATTAAAAAATGGCACGAATCAGACCAGGGGTTCAAAAGTTAAGGGAAAGTCCTTTGTGACTAAATGAAGCATGGCTTTCTGGCCCAAACCAGTTTCAGAGTCTTCTATCCTGGAGAGTAATTCAATTATCTCCCAGGATAGACACAAGACTCCATTAAGCACATGGTTGCAAAAAGACACAAAACATTTTAAAATACATAAAGTCACATTTACACATAACACACAGACATTTCACATATCCCCAGATAGCTGGGATCTGAGTGCACATTATTAGATGAATGGCACTCAGATCACACAAATAAGCCTTTCTGCAGGGGAAATAAACAGTTTAACCTGCAGGGCCATAGTCCAAAGGGAGCAGGCGAGCAACCAGGCTTCTCCAGTTCACAGTGGCGAGGTTGGTTTCGCCACACTTCTCCCCTTTACCAACTAGACTAACAGGGTATCTGACCTCCTGCCGGTCAGTGCCCTGGTTAGTCCAGCAACCCACCCACAAAACAGAAACAGCAGTACAGCCCACCCACAATAACTGGTTACTACACCTGGGTAGAGGAGAACTTTGTCCATGTCCAGGTGCCTCACCACGACTGTGTGGGCAACTGTTAGGCTGCCTTGGTGGGTTGCTGAGTGGGCAGAGACCAGCGGTACTCTGCCCTGATGCCAGTGCTACCACGGAAGTAGCCTGGTTGTGGGAGGGAGAGACCGACTGTCTCCCCTCTGGATACACCGCTCTGTGGCTGGGGAACAGGACCGACTGTCCCTACCCCTTGTGCTGTAAGTGCAGAGACTACAGTCCCATCTGCACTGTTGGGGGTGTAACCTCTCCCCTTGGTGGGTTAGGCTGCCGCTGGAGAGAGGGTGTAACAAGCTCCTCTCTCTGAACTGTAGACTGCCGCTGGGGAGAGGGGGTAACCTGCTCCTCTCCCTGACACGCTCTTTGCTGGTGGAGAGGGGGACCAACTGTCTCCCCTTTCAATATTTTGTCCTGCGGCTGGGGTGCGAGACAGACGGTCTCTGCTTCCTGGGGTACACACTGCCGCTGGAGAGGAAGGACGACACCTTTGGCTTCCTGGGATACACACTGCCGCTGGGGAGGAAGGACGGCACCTTCTGCTCCCTGGGGTACACACTGCCGCTGGGGAGAGGGGATAACAAGCTCCTCTCCCTGACACTCTCTCTGCTGTTGGAGGGGGAGACCGACTGTCTCCCCTTTCAATAATTTGTCCTGTTGCTGGGGAGAGGTGATAACCGGTTCCTCTCCCTGGAACACTCTCTGCTGTTGGAGAGGGGGACCAACTGTCTCCCCTTTTAATATATTGCCCTGCTGCTGGGGAGCGAGACCGACTGTCTCCGCTTCCTGCAGGACACACTGCCGCTGGGGAGGAAGTACAGCACCTTCAGCTCCCTGGGATACATACTGCCGCTGGGGATCTGGGCTGACTGCCCAGCATCCCTGTAGGGCCTGTAGAGAGACCTCGGTCCCATCCCTACCTGCCAGCTGGGTGTCTTCCCAGGACACGTCAATAAGGTCTTCCATCTCTGGGGCTGGTTGGGACATATGTGGTACAGTACCAAAGTCTCCTGATAACAGGCTTGGTTGCTGGGTAGGAGGAACTAAACTCAATGCTTCCGGTGGTATACAGTCAATAAGCCCCATCATGTCAAAGACAGGCGGCGTTATACGTTGGAATAGGCAAACATAATCCTGTTCTAGTTCCCACTCTCGGTTGGCAAGAAAAGATAGATCTGGCTGAATGGCATCGATCTCTGTAAGGTCCCAGTTGTCTGCCCGCTCAGCTCGGATGGACCAGACGCGAGCAATGTCGGTGTCTCCGAACCAGAGACTAGTTTCAATAGTATCCCACAACAAACCAGGGCCGTCGTAGTCTTCCCCCTCAATACACTTGTACTCAATCAGCCATGGGTAGAGGTGGTAAACATGCCACCGCAGGGCCCGATAGGAATCATCCAGCCACACCTCAGTCTCAACTAGCGTCTCCAGTTCACTTACCCATTCCTCTGAGGGCTGGTTTCCCAATAACGGCATCCGCAGCTCTAGTTGTTCTGCTTGGCGCTGGTTAGTGGTCAGGATTTCCTCGCACCGGAAGGGTCGAATTTCGTCGATGTCCTCCTTCCAGAGATCGGTACGAAGCGCCACCCTCCACTCTGTCTCTCTTTCCTCTGGGATAGGATACTCCATACTGCGCATCACATCCTGTAGTCGCTGCTGGAGCCTGGCGTCAAAGTGAGATACTGCACGGCCTTCCATCTCTGAAGTAGTGCTGGTTTTCCCAAATCTTTATGTAGACAGGGACGCTGTATGAACACTAGCGTCACCTTCAATTTGTAAATCCACGAACTGTGTCTCTGAGCTGCTTTACCTCGCACTAGGACGCCATCCCACTGCTGCCACCAATGTAACGGATCACCTGGCACCCCGACTGGGTACCTCCGTTGAAGGATGCTCCTAGCACTTCCTGAGGACTCCAAGCACTGCAGCAGACACCAAAACCACTGAACCGTAGGAGCATATGAATGCTCTCAAGCATATGAATGCTGCAGACAGTTGAATAGGAAACCATACGAATAGGTTTGCTCTCCTAGCAGTCAAACTGGAACAGCATACAATAAATCCTTCCCCCAATAATGAGACGACACTTCACTTTGAGGGTTAAAACAGGAACTCCCTGTACTGTCACATACAGTCTCTTTTTATTCCCAATCCACAAACATAGTACAGCCCACAGGGCGTTACAAAACAACCAATCAATCCGTACAATACACCCAGACACTCCCCCACAAAATCCTCCCCTCTGCATGTGATATGATTACTGAACACAATGGGTAATCTCATTATCACCGGCAGAGGAATACAGTTTTTACACAATATTTATAACTTCTAAAATATACATGTCACAAGCATAAAACATACATTTTCATAATCAATCCATTCAGGGGAACAACATATTAAAAAATGGCACGAATCAGACCAGGGGTTCAAAAGTTAAGGGAAAGTCCTTTGTGACTAAATGAAGCATGGCTTTCTGGCCCAAACTAGTTTCAGAGTCTTCTATCCTGGAGAGTAATTCAATTATCTCCCAGGATAGACACAAGACTCCATTAAGCACATGGTTGCAAAAAGACACAAAACATTTTAAAATACATAAAGTCACATTTACACATAACACACAGACATTTCACATATCCCCAGATAGCTGGGATCTGGGTGCACATTATTAGATGAATGGCACTCAGATCACACAAATAAGCCTTTCTGCAGGGGAAATAAACGGTTTAACCTGCAGGGCCATAGTCCAAAGGGAGCAGGCGAGCAACCAGGCTTCTCCAGTTCACAGTGGCGAGGTTGGTTTCGCCACACTCATCTTATACTTGAGTATATACGGTATATGGAGTTTAAAAAGTTTACTTTTTTAACATCAGTATTAAAATAAACCATGTGTAAAAACAATAAAATAGTCCAAATAAACTATATACTGGACCACACTTGACATCTTTCTCTCCTTCAAAGCTTCATCATAAATGTGGCAAGGTCCTCATAAGTCCAAGAATCCATCAGTAAATGTTGATTGAAGATCACTTCCTGGTGTGGTTAAATTGTAGACTTCCTGTACCCATATTGTGTTAAGACCACCACTACTTCACAGTAATCCAATATTGGTGGCTCACTCACTAGTTCTAACATGGGAAACAAATTAAATAGGGCTAGCGCTCAATGAGCTCAAGTGTATTATAACAATCTGTTGTAAGAACATTGTAAATATATATAATGCTAAATTAATTAATTTCCTGTTCCTTAATCTGTACATTGTACACTCACTGGCATGCATTCTCAATGAAAGACATACTCTCACTAATTTGCCCACTATTGTAGCTTTTCTAAGTAGTCTGTTTTATAGATACATAGCCGTCATAACTGCATCACCTTTGTTTTTATGTGGCAACAGTAAATCTGTCAGAACGCACCTTCTGACCATCTCTAACCATCTCCTTTAAAGCGACACAGTAGGCATCCAGACCACTTCAGCTAAATGTGCTTTGTCCCTTTTGCACTTAGTGCTGCAATGTAAAACATTGCAGTTCCAGAGAACTGCAATGTTTATATTGCAGCTCTAAGTCTGTCCACAGTGGCTGTCTACCAGACAACCACTAGAGGGCTTGCGGAATTGAAACTGACCTTTGGTCAGTTATCTGATGTTGGACGTCCTCATGCTCTGTATGATGACCTCCAGTGTCAGATTTTCCCATAGGAAAGCATTGATGAATGCTTTCCTATGGGGAAATCCAAATGCGAGCACGGCCAATGCCACGCATGGGCATTCGGTCTCCCTAAGGAGGGTGGGCGGAGCCTGACCCAGCGACAAGGGACATTAACGCTGGATTAAGGTAAGTGGCTGAAGGGGTTCCAGAGACTGGAGACTTGATAGACTTTACACAGGAGGTCCAGGGAGAGAAGTGTTCCGTCCTTCCTCCACAGGGGCTGTGTGAGGGGCAGGGAGCGGAAACAAACAATCTCGTACCTCCAGAACTGTGTGTCGTCCAGTTACTGGGGGGGAAATGGGTCTCTTTATATCCTAAATGGTTCCTGTTCAGCTGAAGAAAGGGAAATAGCAGAGGTAACTGGTTGGGTTATCAGGTACTCCGCTTCAATCATGAATAAATGTTAATATACACGTATAATGCTTAGAAGACAGGACGTATGGGACCACATATGCTAAGTGAATGAATTTGGGAATAGGTAGCCTACTCCCTTTCCCTGTTAGAGTTAGACTATATTCACATGCTTCTCTGTTCTGGTCCTTTTGTATATTCCTTTTGCCATCAGAAGTTTCAGTGAAATCTCGGTTTCGAAAACCTTTATGCTACAGTTTGAGCAATTCTTGGTTAATGACGAAACACTGAGCAACTTTCTGTAAGTTCAGGAAAGTACATTTCATTTTGTACTTTCTTGCTTAATGTCTCTGCTTTCACAACACAATTCAAGAATCCAACTCCTCGTCTTTGTATAGAGTTTGTTGCCATTTTACTGTGCTCTCGTTTTCCATATAGAGGCTTTTTCTTATCAATGCAACCCTTTTTTAAGCAGTTTCTTTTCAAATATTTTTTATTGAACAGTTTTTCATAATATAACAATAACATTGAAATAATAAACCTCAATAATATGAAAATAAAATATGTCAATAAAACAATGTAATAATTACATCAAATATAAATAAAAAATAACAAAAGTACCTTTTTATATTTTTGAACAATAAAAGGGGGCCAGAGGGGCAATGGGAAAAAGGAAAGGAAAGGTCGAAAAGGAAATAGAATATATATTACTTTTACTATATGCGACCATTGAACAGTGTTACAACTGAACAATACAGTCACGGCATTAGTTCCATTTTCATCACGTATACATGTTTGTGCATTATATCAGCAGATAATAAACATTTTCTATTTATTACATATTTCTAGCAAGATGAGATTTATGTCCACATATAAAATATTATTTTGTGTGCCATTTCTGTGTGCAAATGTACTGCCATGGCTGATGTGATAAGCTAATTTGTTTCCTTTGATATGCCTCTCAAAGTTGTGTATTGCAAAAACTTGTGTTTCACTTACTGCAGTTTCATATTTTACAGAGAGATTATCTCTAGTTTTTAGTGCATGAATAAATGAACTGGAGCTTTCTGGAAGTCTTGATAAAATCAGAATAAGGTTGTTTTCTTCATCAAAATTATTTGCAATAGAATCTAAATGACCAATGAATTCTGACGTTTGACTCAAATGTTTGTCTCTGTTTACTCACTCATGCAGCTATATTTTATACAGTTTTCCTGGTAAAAAAAGTCTTTCATTTAGACAGATGTAAGAAAACATTACATCACAAAGACAAATATAACAGCAAGAGAGAGTAAGAATACATACTTCTTCTCCAACACTATAGACTGAGATAGTGGAGGGCGAGCAACTAAATGCCACCAGCAACAGTGAGTCCTCCACATTAGGCACTGGAGATTATTATTAATATACTTTTTTTTTTCTAATTAATAAAACACACTATTATAAACTTTTTTCATATCTCTATGCTTTCTGTTTTATTCTCTATTTGAATCCTTCTTACCATTCAATATTTTTGCACACACACATTTCCCTATAAATCTTTTCCATCCTAATCCAAAAACCTAATCTTTTTTTACTTTTAATTATGATTTTTCTATTTTCCTTTTGGAAAGGAGAGGTAGGAAGTGGAACCTATTCAGGTAGTGCTGGAAGGCTGGCTCTCTGCTATATTTACCTTAGATGAAGGGACGAACGCTGGGCAGAACATGTCAGGGTTCCAAGCTTAGAACCAGTCCTTCTACTTCTGCTACATGCATAATATAGCATGATTTTGTGAGTAAAAAAATAAACAAATCATGAGAGGCAAAAAAGTATTGTTTAGTTTTACAGACATGGAAGAGCCAAAAAACCTAAGTAGGTGGGAGAGGCAAATACAAACAAACAGAAAAATAAAAATTCTAACAGCAGAGGTGAGGAAGGAAGCAGAGACCAGCAGACATTTGAATCAAGAACAAGACAGCAGGAGATACAGGTGGGAGACAATTTAGCATGCAGATGTTTTAGGTGGAAAAGACTATGGCATACAGATGGGAGAAAAGAGGCATCGGTTTGGAAGCAGGTAGTGACAAGGGTGTCACTGTCTGAAAACTAGTGAACAAACAAAAGGAGGAATCTGTACTCTTATATGGTCCTAGTGCAACCAGACCTGGGGCTGGCTAACCCCACTCCAATGGTAAAACATTCTTTTTCAAGCCAGTCTGAAAACTAGTGTGAGAAAGAGTCCAGCAGACAAGAGATGCGAAACATAGACACTAGCAGAGAAACAGGTAAAAGGTTTGGCGAAGAGGGGAAAAAAAGAGAGTCTGTCCATGGAAGCCCAAAAAGTAGATCTCTAGATGGTTTAATACTACAGCTTCCATGATGATTTTTCATTCTAAAGCAATTTAAAGGCATACAAAGCATCATGGGAGTTGGTAATTCTACAACATCCGGGGACCTACCTTTTGGGCACCCCTGGTCTAGTCAGATAGAAGCAATATATCGCAAAGCTCCTGCAAGTGTTTCACACTGACATTTATATCTTCACACACTTGGCTAATTCCTAAATGTCCCGTGGGCAGATTCAATATCTGCTTCAATTACTGTGATCAATTATTTGGATCTAATTACTTGAGATCAAATCATTTAAGAAAAGAAAACTGTAATTTTCTTTGATACGAATAATAAAACATTCATCTTAGCTATTGAAATAGCTACTGTAATAATTCAATAGTGTAAAAGCTTCTGTATTTTCTTGATCAGCTCTTACAAGGTTAATTCTAGAGTGAAAAACAACGTAAAACTTACTTTCTCCAAGACCTTCATTCCATGGATTTGATCCTTTCCTGATGGAATGTGAATACCTTTTGACCAAGTCAAAAAAATTATTTTAATGGCAAATATTCACCTTTCGAGGCTGTAATGAATTGTCCTTTATTTACCTATGTACAGATATCATGCATCTTAATTCAGTATACAGTTTGTAGGAATGCCAGAGGGGCTGGGAACACAATGCATCCTTTGTCTATATGGTCGGATTTGCAGAGTATGCTTGTTGTAGATAAAAGCTTTCCTTTCTCTTCATCAAAGCTATATTTATCTTCTCTAAATCCTTCCTTTCTCTCCCTAATTTATCCCTTTGTTCTCTTTCCCTTATTCATTCTCCATGTATATTCTGTACTAGTATGTAGATGTGAAGAACAAACTATTACAATAATTCAATAGGGAAATGAGGTTATTATTAAAGGTAACTGCCAATAATTCTGAAACAACAAAATCTACTTAGATTTGCCATTCTATAATTCTGTCTGCTTGAAAAATGAACAAAAAAATCTAAATTCCAATACAATATTTTTAGATATTGTTTTTCAAAGAAACTAAAATCACAGAATGGAAAAACCTTTCGACAAAACTTTGACCATGTAACTGACATCAATCACAAGCACACATCCATGGGATCTGTACAAAACAGAGGCACAGTAGATAATCCATATTGGTTCTCCTAGACATCAGAAGATTGGATCAGTTGTCTGCACTCCCACGTGCTCCCATTGTGGTTGAGGAGAGGGACTAGCTGTCTCCTCTCTCTGTATCTCTGGCTGTGATTGGGTATTTGGGCAGGCTGCCCAGCATCCCTGTATGGCTGGTGCAGAGACCCCGGTCCCATCTGCACCGGCCAACTGGAAGTCATCCCAGGACCAGTTTATGAGGTCCACTGATGACAGGCACAGCTGCTGGGGAGTGGGACCGACCATCTCCACGCCCAGCATCTCCAGCTGGAGTTGGGTAGAGAGTCTCCTCTCCCTGTAGCTGACACTGCTGTTAGAGATCTGGGCAGGCTGACCAGCGTCCCTGTAGAGCTGGTGGAGAGACTTTGGTCCCATCTCCACCTGCCAACTGGATGTCTTCCCAGGACCAGTCTATAAGGTCTCTTATTTCTGGGGCTGGTTGGGAGGTAGGTGGTATAGCGGCCCGGTCTCCCCACCTGTAGTTTGGCAGGTCTAGGTCAGCCACACAGCTTCCCTGCTCTGCGGGCACAGAGACCCCAGTCCCATATGCACCATCCCCACCAGGTGTCTTGTCTCTTGATGACAGGTACAGCTGTTGGGGAGGAGGGATGAAACTTAACTCTCACGGTGTTGCACAGTCCATAAATGCCATGATTTCTGAGACAGGTGGCGTTACACGTTGAAATAGACTAACATAATCTTGTTCTAGTTCACACTCCAGGCTTGCCAGACAAGACAGATCCGGCTGCAATTCTGCTACCTCGGTAAGGTCAAAGCTGTCTTCCCGCCTATCGCAGAAGCACCGGTAGCGGGAACTGTCGGGTTCTCCAAACCCCAAGGAGTCTTCAAAACCTTCCCACAACAGGCCAGGTCCAACGTAGTCCTTTCCGTCAGGGAGTTGGTAGGGGAGCAGCCCCGGGTAGAGGTCAGCTGCATGCCACTGCAAGGCCCGGTAGGACAACAACACTTCCATTTCGACCAGCCTCTCTAGTTCTCTTACCCATTCCTCTACTGGCTGCTATCCCAGGAACGACATTCGCAGTTCTAGTTGGTCCCATCGGCGCTGGTTGGAGTTTGGAAAAATTTCACCAAGGACCTCCTTCCAGAGCTTGGTTTGGATGGCCACCCTCCATTCTGGTAGGCTCTCATCTGGTATAGGGTTATCACTGCAGTGCAGAAGATCCTGTAGTCGCTGCTGGAGCCTGGCGTTGAAGGGGGATGCTGCCTGACAGTACCTGCCTTCCATATTCCTGAAGTAGTACTGGTTTTCCCATGACTAGGAAGCCATACCGCCACTGCCACCAAATGTGTCGGACTGCCTGGCCCCCTGACTGAGTACCTCTGTCAATCGCTGCTTCCTAGTTTCACTGAGTACTATAAGCACTGCACCGAACACCATAAACACCGTAGTCCCCTTAGTCGCCGCAGCTTGGCTGGTGTCTCGCCGTCCCTTCCCACCCTGGACCAACACCTGGATCCAGCTCCCAGTGGGAAGACATCTCCTCCAAGAGAGTATAGCCATATAGCCCTTAAAAGTGCATAGTGATATAGCAATCCAAAGAGCAGGAATATAGCTGGTATAGCTTTCTCCCACACACATAAACTGATTTAGTGGGAGCCACACACTGCCTTTTATGCAACTCCCCATGCAAGGGGTTTCCTAAATCACATTCCAGGGGCATTCCCCATTGGACATGAGAGAGAACTAGTTGCAAGCAAATATCTAAATTAAATCATCCATTTAATTTATGCTCACCCAGTCTCCACTCCTTCAAAAAATCGGTAAAAACCCACTTCTGCATAAAAGCGTATCAATTAAACTGTTAATAGCGCCTGACTGACTCCTCTTCTGCAACTGTCACCTGTCTAATACTATCCTTACCTTTTTGTGTCATTTTACCCCACTCCCTCTAGCATGTAAGCTCATTGAGCAGGGCCCTCAACCCCTCTGTTCCTGTGTGTCCAACTTGTCTGGATACAACTACATGTCTGTTCTTCCACCCATTGTAAAGCGCTGCGAAATTTGATGGCGCTATATAAATATCATCATAATAATAATCTCCCAGTACAGAAAACCTGCAATTTAACAATACCTCAAAAGTATCCCCAAAACACATGAAAACTCCACAAAGGTTACACCTCTAATAGCCCCGATCTGGGTGACCAACATATCCAAAAATCACGCAGATCGGTTCAGGGGTTCAGGATTTTCATGGAAGTCAATTATTTGACCGACCGTGCACATGGTCCTGTGCCCAAAACAGTTCCATGAAATCATGGCTAGCAGTCGGTCTAGTTCGGTAGTTTAAAAACAAACAAACTACTGAACATAGCCAATAGTCTTACCCTGGAGCTTGTTCACCTTGTTCATGGGAACATTTCCACCAAACAGTGCCCTTCTAAGTGGTGTAGAATCGTATGCAGGCGATGCTGGAAGTCATGAGCTTCATTCCCAAACATCGCTCCCTGCATTTGAGGGAACAAGGTGGCCGCAACCTCGTGGTCATTCATACAAACAGCGGCCACCCAGACGAACAATTAGAACACTGTGGTGGAACGTGTAACAAACTGTCAATTAGGCTTAACAAGCTCCCGGGTGGTCTGTGATTTGTGCGCCTGTTCGGTTCTCGATCAGAATAGAGAAAGTGTACGAACAAGGTCTTTTATAAGCCTTTTGCATGGCCCATAGTCTTGAGGCAGGAGCCTGGCAAATAGGCCCCTCCAAGAACACGTGGCAGAGGCATTTCTGCCACAGAAGTCACATGCAGGGAGGTGTATAGGGCTGTAAAAACAAAGTGATTTAACTCCTAAATGGAAGAGAAGTGAGCAGTGAGAATGTAGGAGCATGATCTATACACCAAAAGTGCTTCATTAAGCTAAATGTGTTTTGGTGCCTATAGTATCCCTTTAAGTAATACATATGTTAAATTACATTATTCCTTTGCATTAATCAGTATTGCTGATGAACTAAAAGTAAACTCTCTGAAGCTTCTATTTTGTTATGTATTTTTAGTGCAATTAAAAAGTTACAATGCTACAATACTCCTGTTTCATTGGTACCTGGTACATATTGGTAGGGAGGATGACAGACAGATACATAGACAGATGGATGGATAGATAGATAGATAGATAGATAGATAGATAGATAGATAGATAGATAGATAGATAGATAGATAGATGGAGAGAGAGAGAGAGAGAGAGAGAGATAGATAGATAGATAGATAGATAGATAGATAGATAGAAAGCACTATAGGGACTATAAGTAGGTAAGTAGTAAGTAGGTATAACAAAGTCTGCTTTATTTGTGCTGTGAAAATAGAAACGTTTCTGTATTTTCACTGCATAAATGAAGTAGACATTGTTGAACATACTTATAAGGTATCCACATTCAAGTTTGACACTTGCACCGGGGCATCAAGACAAGGGAGTCTACGACTGCAATGAGATGATGAGTATGTACATATATAAAATATACAAGATCCAACACATTCACTTTTTTACTCATTCTCTAAACACCAACTTCAAAGCTGACAAAAAGAACCATAATTGAATTACAATATATGATCATACAATGCATAAGTGTACCCCTTGTTGGCAAGTCCTATAATTATTGCATAAATTAAAGGGGAGATTTCACTTCCCAGGATTTTTGCTTTCTCATCTCCTACGTTTAACAAATATGTTTTTGCAGAGTTTAAAAATTGAAATAAAATGCAGAAATCCACCCGGATGTACTTATTTCATTCCTGAAAATGAGCGCGTCCATCTTGGCTCCCTGTTATTCATTGTTTTGAAGAATAGCCTATTCATCTCTCAATCAGCATAGAGCGGGGAAGGGAAACATAAAAAGTTATCAAAGTGTCATGTTCAGAGAAGTCATGCAAACATTTAAAAGAGGAGGAGTCATCAGTGGAATCTGTTAGGTATTCCAAGATGTTTGCACTTTAAGTACTTTGCAACATTTCACAGAGCACAGAACCTTGATAAATATCCCCCAATATTTATGCTTCTCCTCCTTCCGCCCGAATTACTGGCAAGTCAGCTTGGTGAATGCACTTCAGCCTTCCTGTCTATCACGTAAGCCAGCCGGCACAAGGCAGACGCATAAATTAGCACTGTTTCAGTGCTCTGTGTGAGGTCCTAGTGTCCTGAACATCTAATGATGTTCTCGTGCTATGCTTGTATGGGAGAGTTCCCTGGTCAAAACAGTTGAGACAGCAGGACAGCACTCGAAAATCAGGACTGCCCCGCCACAAACTGCATAGTTAGGAGGCATGGTATCAGGATGTAATTTGTTTGTATTTTTTATTTATTTTTAAAGGAGTATCACGTGAAAAAATAATGTTAACATAAGTAATAGGCTATTTTTTGAATTCTGGTCAATGGTGCAATTTCCAGAGATGTTACTCTTCCCCTTTGAACATTAACAACAATTAATGTTGTGTTTTTGTGATAATATTTAGTATGTAATCTGTTAATAAAAGTATCAATCAAAGTTTGATATACAATTCAACCTGACTTTTTGTTCTTTTTATTTATTTATTTTATCATTTTTTTTAGTATGAAACAATTGTTAAAGAGGTGCAGATTTAGCAGTGGTGATCTCTGGACTTAAATGTCTATTCTTTGTTTTGTACTGCTTATAATTTACAAATATTCTTTTAGTGTGTAAAAATATATTGAAATTACCAGTAAGTTGTAATTTCTCTTGTCCAGAAACAAATAATGTACAGTACTTTGAAATGTTCTAAATGTCGATATGTACTGAGGCCTAAAAGAATAAAATGCTTTTGCTATTTATCACGAGTGAGCCACAGGCAATAAACGCATGCATATCTTCTTTCTCTAATGAAGCGTGCTTCATTTTCAGTGAACTGGCTAATTTGAGTGTTTTCAGCAGGGCAAACAAAAGTCAATGAACACAAAGACATATGCTTTGCCCTTATTTAATCTATGACTCTTTTATTAGATTGGATCTTTTAATTACCATTTTTAATTTAAAACATTCCTTTAAAACATATAGTCATAGCTACATTTAAAACATATGTTTAAGTTGTTCAGAGGGATGTGTATAGGTATATCCAAATTAGACAGTATAACTGGATTCTAAAACATTCCAAAAACCTGACAGATCTAAACTTGGGAGTATTGTTGTACTTGGAAAATGGAGATGAACTTAAATGGTCAAAGATGACAAGGTTGAATGTTTCACTCATAAATATTAAATATTTTTGCCAATGTTGATTTACTATCTGGCCTACTAAGTACCCAATTGTAACTTTAACAGAATACTTATATTTAA